ACAAAGAAGGACATTATATGATGCCGAAAGTGTTAATTGACAAAACGACATTAAAATAATAAATATTTATGCACCCAATGAAAGTGTTCCAAAATATGTGATGCAAATTTAACTGAATTAAAAGGGATAATAGACAACTCTACAATAGTAGTAGGAGACTTTAACACACCACTTTCAAAGAGGGACAGGTCAACTAGAAAAAAAGTCAACAAAAATACAGAAGAACTCAACAAGACAATCAACCAACTTGACCTCATAGACATATACAGATCATTTCACTCAACAAAAGCATAATTCATATTCTTCTCCGGTGCACATGGATCCTTCTCTAGAATAGACCATACTTTAGGACATAAAACAAGCCTTAATAAATTTAAAAGCATTGAAATACTACAAAGCATCTTCTCAGACCACAATGCTATAAAATTAGAAATTAATTATAGGAAGAGCAAGGAAAAAGCATCAAACATATGGAAGCTAAACAACTCAGTGCTCAAATAATAGAATCGTAATAGAATCAATAAAAACTGAAATAAAAAAAAAATTCCTAGAGACAAATGAGAATGAAGACACATCATACAAAAACCTATAGCACACAGTGAAAGCAGTACTCAGCAGACATTTTATAGCAATAAAGGCATACATCAAAAGAGGAAAGAAAGAAAATCAACACTCTAACCCATCAACTCCAACAACTAGAAATAGAACAACAAAAAAATACTACAGTATCTAGAAGCAAGGAAATAATAAAGATCAATGCAGAAATAAAAGAAACAGAAAACAAAAAATCCATAGAGAAAATCAACAAAACAAAAAGCTGGTTCTTTGAAAAGATTAATAAAATTGATAAACCTTTGGCAGACCTAATGAAAGGAAAGAGAAGATCCAAATCACAATAATTGTAAATGAAAATGGTGTCATCACAAAAGAACCAACTGAAATAAAAAAAAAGATACTGACAGAATATTATGAAAGACTGTACTCAAATAGATTTGAGAACCTAGAAGAGATAGACAAGTTTCTAGAATCACAAGACTTACCTAAACTCTCCCACTCAGAGATAGAAAACTTGAACAGACCTATAACAAAAGAAGAAATTGAACAGGTCATTAGAAAAAAAAAAAAAAAAACACTTTCTACAAAAAAAAAGACCTGGCCAAACGGCTTCGCTGGAGAATTTTACCTAATATTCAGAGAAGAGTTGGCACCTATACTACTCAAGCTATTCCAGAACATAGAAAAAGATGGAATATTCCCAAACTCATTTTATGAAGCAAGCATAACACTAATACCAAAACCAGGAAAAGACACTACTAGAAAGGAAAACTACAGACCAATATCCATCATGAACATAGATTCAAAAATCTTTAACAAAATCCTAGCCCACAGAATCCAACAACATATCAAAAAATTATTACACCCAGACCAACTGAGATTCATACTATATTTACAAGGATGGTTCAACATCAGAAATTCAATCAATGTAATCCACCACATGAACAAAACAAAACAAAAGAACCATATGATTATATCAACCGATGCAGAAAAGGCATTTGATAAAATCCAATATCCATTCCTGTTCAGAACTCTCAGCAAAATAGAGATAGAAGGGAAATTCCTCAACATAATAAAGGCTATATATACAAAGCCAATGGCCAACATCATTATTAATGGAGAAAGACTCAAGGCATTCCTCTTACGAGCAGGAACCAGACAGGGATGCTCTCTATCACCACTTTTATTTAACATTGTATTGGAAGTCCTGGCTAGGGTAATACAGCAAGAAAGAGAAATAAAAGGCATACAAATTGGCAAAGAGGAACTAAAACTATCTCTATTTACAGATGATATGATCCTGTACATAGAAAACCCAATGGACTCAATAAAAAGTACTACTGGAACTAATAGAGAGGTTTAGCAAAGTGGCAGGATACAAGGTCAACATACAAAAATCAGTTGGATTCCTCTCCACCAACAATGAGTCCTGTGATAAAGAAATAAGGAAAACAATACATTTACAATAGCTACTAAAAAGATAAAATATCTAGGAATAAACCTCACCAGAGACACAAAAGACCTATACAAAGAAAAATATAAAACACTGCTACAAGAGACAACAAGGACACTACATAAATTGAAGAATCTACCTTGTTTATGGGTAGGTGGACTGAATATTATGAAAATGTCAATACTACCTAAAGCAATTTGCACATTTAAAGCAATTCCAATCCAGATTCCAACAAAATTTTTTAAGGACATGGAAAAAATAATTACTAATTTCATATGGAAAGGAAAGATACCTTGGATAAGCAGAGCACTTCTCAAGAAGAAAAACAAGTGGGAGGTCTCACACTACCAGATCTTAAGAACTACTATACAGCCACAGTAGTCAAAACAGCATGGTATTGGTACAATGATAGACAGAGAGACCAATGGAACAGAATTGAAAGTCCAGATATAGACCCATCCATCTATGGACAACTGATCTTTGACTAGGCCCAAAACCCATTAAATGGGGAAGAGACAGCCTCTTTGACAAATGGTGCTGGCAAAACTGCATATCCACTTGCAGAAAAATGAAACAAGATCAACCTCACCCCATACACAAAAACAAACTCAAGCTGGATCAAAGATTTACATGTAAAACCCAAAACTATAAAATTCATCAAAGATAAAATAGGGGCAAATCTGGGAGCCCTAATTTATGGCATAAATAGACTAGCAAGCATAACCCAGAATGTGCAGGAGATAGAAGAGAAGCTAGATGACTGGGATCTTTTAAAAATTAAATTTTTATGTGCATCGAAAGACTTCATCAAAAGGGTAAAAAGAGAACCTACAGATTAGGAGAAAATATTTGCCTATGACATATCTGATAAAGGACTTAGCTCCAAAATCTATAGAAAACTTCAACATATCAACACCAAAAAGACAAATTACCCAAATCACAAATCATCAAAAGACTTGAACAGACACTTCACCAAAGAAGATATACAGGAAGCCAACAAACATGAGAAATTGCTCACGATCATTAATCATTAGAGAGATGCAATCAAAACAACAATGAGATATCATCTCACCCCAATCATAACAGCAAAGTTCAAAAGCTAAGAAAATAACAAATGCTGGCGAGGTTGTGGAAAGATTGGAACTCTTGTGCCTTGCTGGTGGGATTGTAAAATGGTACAACCTTTGTGGCAAACGGTATGGCGTTTCCTTAAAAAAAAAAAAAAACAAAAATAGAAGTATCATTTCATCCAGCAATTCAATTACTAGGAATATATCCTCAAGAGGTGAGAGATAGCCCACAAACAGACATGTGTACACCTATGTTCCTCTCAGCACAATTCACTATAGCAAAGAGATGGAAACAGCCTAAATGCTCATCAACATTTGAATGGATGACCAAATTACGGTGTATGCACACAATGGAATACTACGCTACATTAAAGGACAATGAGAGATACGCGATCATCTCACAATGTGGATGGACCTGGAGGACATTATGCTGAGTGAAGTAAGTCAATTGCAGAAAGACAAGTACTGTATGAGCCCATTACTGTAAAAAGACAAAGAAGGGTTTGCTTGGGAAAGGGAACTCACTTAGTAGGTTACTGGGATAAATTTTGCCATTAACACAAAAAAAACCAGGCTACAGATAAACACATAAACACCTGTGATGCTCAAACAGGGTCAGTGAACAGAGGTATACTCTAGAAGAAGGATAGATTCAGCTGAGGCTAATCTTGCATAGACACCAGTGATACAAAATACCTGCAGTCCTTACAGAAACAATAGAGTAATCCCCCACAGATAATCAGACACTATGGGAGAGAGATCCAATAGATCTACTGTCTCAGGACCATAGTACTGGGGGACACCAGACACAATTGGCACAACAAAATGTATAAAAGCCTTGCTCCACATCCCACATTGGTGAGTAGCAACTGGGGTCTTAAAAGCTTTCAAGCGGCCATCTAAGATGCAGCTAATGGTCTCCCAGCATCAGAAGCAAAGAATGCAAAAAAAAAAAAAAAAAAAAAAGGTATGTGTAAGCAATCAGCCCTAGGACACGATGACCCTTGAGACCAGAACTAGATGGTGCCTGGCTACCAATGCTAAATACTCAGGAAAGGATCAAATCTGGAGATCCTGAATAGACTGGGAGGGAAAATGTGAAACAAAATCCAAAATCTCAATAATGACCAGAATTACTGGTCAGATGAAATCTGGTGAGAACCCCCAATATATAGCCCTGGAATACATTCTGCGCCTGGAATAAAATGCACCCCCAGGGGCTGGCTTTCAGCCCAATAGTTAACAAGATGTACACACAGACCACTCAACCTAGGATGACTCACCCACATACTCTATGGTAATACATCCCTTAGAGCAGTAGACCACGGAACACCAGAGGACCAACATTCAAATTGAGGAAATGGAAGACAAACAGGAGTGCATAAATACGAGGGGCACAGGGGGAAGGTACAGGGTAGGGAGGGGAGGAGACTGGGTTAGGGTTGGACATGGTAAATGGGGAATGAAACTAAATGTACATGTAACATTGAATGTAAAACACGCTCCTAAAATTAAATAAAATAAATAAATAGATAAATAAATAGAACAGGAATAGAAGAAAAGACCAAAACGGATGACAGAAGGACAGTCTGAAACTTGCTCTTGAATGTAGAGTATCTAAAGCAAATGGAAGAAATGACAAAATGAAAAAGCTGAACAGAAGATTTCAAAGAACACCTAGAGAAGACAAAGTAAATTATTATAATGAAATGTGCAAAGACCTGTAGTTAGAAAACCAAAAGAGAAGAACACGCTTGGCATCTTTCAAGCTGAAAGACTGAAGAAAAAATTCAAGCCTTGAGTTGCAATATTGAAGGATTCTATGGATAAAATATTGCCTGATGCAGGAAACATCACAAGAAGGTGGAAGGAATACACAGTCACTGTACCAAAAAGAATCATTTGATTTTCATCTACTTCAGGAAGTAGCTCTTCCAGTGCTGGCCCCAGGTCTTGCCAGAGCGCTATTCTTCACTCAAGGCCAGCAGGTTGACAATTGCATTTTTTGCACTCTCTGGACTGGATATGTTGGATTCCTTAGATGTCATGAACAAAGATGATATAATAGAGTGGATTTACTCCCTGCAAGTCCTTCCCACAGAAGATAAATGCTTCTTAGAAACAAGGATGGCGAGACTTCTTCTCATGTACTCTGGACATGTTATTATGAGGGACCAGTCCCTAGAAAAGGACATCATGCTTGGTAAAGTAAAGGATCAGTGAAAAAGAGGAAAACCTTCAATGAGATGGATTGACTCAGTGGCTGCAGTATTGGGCTCAGACATACCATTGATTGTGAGAATGGCACAGGACTATGGCGCAGAACAAGGATCTCTGGTACCACGGTGCCTAAGGCATCTGACTGCTAACCAGAAGGATCAAATTTAAATCGCTGTGGATTCCGAGGCTCTTCATATCTGGGTATTCCATTCAATCCATCAAAGAATCCTGGAACAGCGCATCCTTATGATAGTGGCCACATAGCAATGATCTACACTGGCCTTTCAGGCTTAGTTATTCTTGGAGACGACTTAAGCCGAGTAATTAAAGAAGCTTGCTTAGCAGGCGTGAGAGCCCTTCAGCTAGAAGATGGAAGTTTTTGTGCTGTACCTGAAGGAAGTGAAAATGACATGAGATTTGTTTACTGTGCTTCCTGTATTTGCTATATGCTCAACAATTGGTCAGGCATGGATATGAAAAAAGCCATTGACTATATTAGAAGAAGTATGTCTTATGACAATGGACTGGCACAGGGAGCTGGACCTGAATCTCATGGAGGATCAACTTTTTGTGGCATTGTGTCACTGTGTCTGATGGGTAAACTAGAAGAAGTGTTTTCAGAAAAGGAATTGAACAGGATAAAGAGATGGTGTATAATGAGAGAACAAAATGGTTATCATGGAAGACCTAATAAGCCTGTAGACACCTGCTATTCTTTTTGGGTGAGAGCAACTCTAAAGCTTCTGAAAATTTTCCAGTACACTAACTTTGAGAAAAATAGAAATTACATCTTATCAACTCAAGATCGTCTAGTAGGGGGATTTGCCAAGTGGCCAGATAGTCATCCAGATGCTCTACATGCGTACTTTGGGATTTGTGGTCTGTTACTAATGGAGGAAAGTGGAATTTGTAAAGTACACCCTGCTCTGAATGTAAGCACACGGACTTCTGAACACCTTTGAGATCTCCACCAGAGCTGGAAAATCAAGGACTCTACACAGTGTTCAGAGAATGTGCCCATCTCCACTTTATTGACTTTAAACTGGGACAATGGAGGGAATTTGTAGCATAATTATAGCTCAAGGTTAAAAGCCATGTATAACCAAGTATGCACTTTTTTAAAGAAGTGGAACCATACAATCAAATTTCATGCTGATGTCACTTTGGGATATGGTCTTGAGCCAGTAACCTTTGTACTATGTTTCAAGGAAATCTTTGTTGAAGTATGAACCACAGTGGACTCTGTCATAGTTCTTAAATGTTTATATTGTATTTCTAAGATGTTCTTTGAGGCAGATTAACTGTATGCATATAATTATCTTTAAAAAAAAAAATTCAGTACAAATTATATCATATTGTAAAATGAACACAAATCTTCCAAACAGTTTACATTTCATATAGCATTGGTAATCCTCCAGTGAACACTTAGTGATTATTTTTAAAGTTTGATTGCCAGTGGTAGAAAAATGCTTGAAGAATTAAGTATCTTGGATTATTCTTTGAAAACAGATAATCCCACTGTTTTTTTTTTAAAGAATTAGTTACTTTTTTCTTAAGTGTGCCAATTAAACTTATGTGGCCTATATAAATGAAATTAACAACTTCATAGTAAATATCAATAGGCTTCACTAATAGTTTTCTATAGGAAAATTGCTTTAATAAGATTCTATTACGTAGTAAAGTTGGGAGCTCTGGTAGCATAGTGCCTAAGGCACTTGACTGCTAACCAGAAGGCTGGCGGTTCAAATCCACCAGCCACTCCTCGGAAGGAAGATGGGGCAATCTACTTCCATAGTGATACTGCCTCGGAAACCCAAGGAGGGGACGCTATGAGTCGGGTCCGACTCGACAGCACATAACAACAACAACAACAGCAACTCAGGAAGTAGCATGTGATTAAGAACCAATGGTACTGAAGGAAGAAGTAAAAGCTGCACTGCAAGAATTGGTGAAAAACAAAGCTCCAGAAATTGACAGAATTCTCACTGAGATGTTTCAACAAACAGATGTCATGCTGGAGGCACTTACTCATCTATGCCAGGATATTTGGAAGAGGGCTAACTGGCCAACTGACTGGAAGAGATCCATATTTCTACCCATTTCAAAGAAAGGTGATCCCACAGATTGCGGAAATTATCAAACAACATCATTAATTTCATGCACAAGTAAAATTTTGCTAAAGATAATTAAAAAATGATTGCAGCAGTATATTGACAGAGATCTTCCAGAAATGCAAGGTGGATTTGGAAGAGGACGTGGAATGAGGTACACCATTGCTGGTGCCAGATGGATCTTGGCTCAAAGCAAAGAATAACTGAAAGATGTTTGCTTGTGTTTCATTGATTATGCAAAAGCATTAGACTGTGTGGATCATAATGAATTTTGGATAACATTGAGAAGTATGGGAATTCCAGAACACTTCATTGTGCTCATGAGAAACCTGTACATAGACCAGGAGGCTGTCTTTTGAACAGAACAAGGGGATATTGCATGGTTTAAAATCAGGAGGGGAGTGCATCAGGGTTGTCTCCTTTTACCATACTTGTTCAATCTGTATGCTGAGCAAATAATCTGAGATGCTAGTCTATTTGAAGAAGAATGCAGTATCATGATTGGAGGAAGACTCATTAACAACGTGTGATGTGCAGACAACACAACTTCACTTACTGAAAGTGAAGATGACTTGAAGCACTTACTGATGACACTTAAATACTACAGTCAGCAGGATGGATTACACCTCAACATAAAGAAAACAAAAATCCTCACAACTGAACCAATAAGCAGCATCACGATAAATGGAGAAAAGATTGAAGCTGTCAAAGATTTCATATTATTTGGTTCCACAATCAACACCCATGGAAACAGCAGTCAAGAAATCACAAGACATATTGAACTGGATAAATCAGCTGCAAAAGATCTCTTTCAAGTGCTGAAGAGCAAGGATGTCTCTTTGAAGACTAAGGTGTGCCTAACTCAAGCCATGGTATTTTCAATTGCCTCATATGCATGTGAAAGCTGGACAATGAATAAGGAAGACCTAAGAAAAGTTCATGCTTTTAAGTTGTGGTGTTGGCCAATAATACTGAATGTACTGTAGACCGCCAGAAGAATGAACAAATCTGTCCTAGGAGAAGTGCAGCCTAATGCTCCTTGGAAATGAGAATGTCCAGGCTTCCTCTCACTTACTTTGGTCATGTTGTCTGAAGTACCATTACCTGGAGAATATCATGCTTGGTATAGTGGAGGGTGGTCAAGAAAGGGGGTGATCCTTGGTTATGTGTCAACTTGGCTGGGCCTGGTTTTGGGTGGGTGGGCAGCTAGATATAATTATTCCCTATGATGAGTTTGGTAATCCACTCCATAGTGGAATGTACTGGAGTGGCTGAGTAGCTAGCTGCCTTACAGATATGATCTGCTTCCAGTATAGAAGGAGAAGTTTTGAGAAAGTTCTCTGCAGCTTTTTGGCATACTTGGGGCCTGCATGTAGCTGAGTCTTCATTTAGCAGCCTGCCATATTTCTTGCTGATCTTGGGATTGTCTCTGGATTTGAACTAAAGGCCTGCTGCGTTGTTTGGTAATATTGGGACTGTGCCATTCTATTTGTCGACCTTGGGCTTGTTAGTTTCATCAGGCAGCAGCTGCCTGAGTTAAGAGACACCAGTGGGCTGGGAGCACTTTAGCAGAGCTGAAGCCCAAGGTTGAGGGGCTTTCACCCAGCCCTAGAGCTTGACACTTTGAACTTGGATTTCTAGCCTTGCAAACTGTAAGAGAATAAACTCCTGTTTGTTTAAGTCAATGATTTGTGGTATATTTCTGTTAGAGTGGCACTTGTTGTTATGTGCCATTGAGTCAGAACTGACTCATAGCCACCCTCCTTGGGTTGCTGAGGTAGTATCACTAGAAAAGTAGATTGCCTAACCTTTCTTCCAAGGAGTGGCTGGTTGGTTTGAACCACCAAGCCTTCTGGTTAGCAGTCAAGTGTCTTAGGCACTATGCTACCAGACTGACACTAGAGAATGAAAAAAGCCTTCAATGGGATGGATTGACACAGTGGCTACCATGATGGGTCAGGTATATCAAGGATTGTGAGACTGGCACAGGACTGGGCAGTGTTTTACTCTGTTGTACAGAGAGTTGCTATGTGTCAGAGCTGACTCAATGGCCTCTAACAAAAACAATAGCATACCAAAAAAAAAAAAAAAAAAAAAACCCTCCCATAGAGTTGATTCTGACTCATAGTGACTCCCATTGTCTTTCCAAGGTGGTAAATCTTTACAGAAGTAGATTGCTTCATCATCCTTCCAGAGAGCAGGTAGTGGGTTTGAACTGCCAACCTTCTAATTTAACAGTCAAATGCCCTAGGCACTTCACCACCACTGTGTGTCTGTGTTGAAATATACACAACACAACATGCTCTTTCAGCAGCTTCACCTGTATTTCTAAGGCAATAATTATATGAAGAAACTATTTTTTTAAATCGGCTTTTAAAAAACATACAAAATTCAGGTGGCCCTAAATTCTTCTAGTTGCCCTGTTCTCTAAGGGTAATAAAGGGAGGCATCAAGAACCTGGATAGTTCTCTGAGTTGTGCAGTAACTAACCTGAATTGTGACCTTCATGTGAGTTCCTTAACCTCTCAGGTCATAAGCTTTCTAATCGGTAGCAAACATATTACACTTCTCCTAAGATTCAATGTCAAACTTCCTATAATAAAAAATGTTGGCAAGATGGAGAGACTCCAGAAAGTGGTGAAATTAAAGGACAGGAGAGATATTCTCTAGGGAAAATAATGGGTTTGCTGGCTGCCGATGCAGGGCTGCTATGTTGCTTTAGGGAAGGCGAGGAGTCTTCAAATCTCTTTTCCCTTGTGTCTCTCACCAGTTTTGATCTGTGACTTCAAATTAGAATGTGAATGACAAGACACTACAAAGAAACATTAGTTATTTGTGAGGGCAGCCTTCATGTGTCCAGGGTGGGAGAGAGGGCAGAGCTCAGGATCAGCATTGGTCTAGAGAGACACCGCTGCCTGCCAATTGCCCCTTGGGGAGCTCAGCAGCAGACTGGGGAGTTACATGACTCCAGGCGAATGTGATCAATAAAGGGCATACTTACTACAGCAATGCTGCTCAGTGGCGGGTGCCCTGGATCATGTGTCCTCATCCCCATGTACCGTGGCATTTGGAGCAGGCAATTAGAACTTCTGGGCAGCTTCTCTCAGAAGTCAAGAAGCTGACAGATGAGCAAAGATGGGCTCAGAAGACTTTTATCTCACTCACCTTTGGCATTAGCCCTTCCTTTCTTGGGAAAATTCACAGAAAAGGCTTAGGAATACAAGTGTGGTAAGTGCACAAAAGGAAGGAATTGTCTTCTTGTTGATAACAACAATAATGACAGCTAACTCGTGTTCTTTGTGGAACTATTTGATTAATATTTGTCTCTTCCTCTAAATGGTAGACTCCATAAGAGCAGAGGAAATAGGGGTTTTTGTGTCCCCCACCATATCAACACAGTCTCGCACTCAATACATATTTATTGAATGAATAACCCAACTTTTTGTTGTGAAACAAGAGCTGTATTGAGGCCTTAATCTTGTTCAATCCTGAAAAAGATCTATAAGATAAGTACTATTATTATCCCCGTTTCATTGACAAAGGAAAAGAGGCTGCAAGTGTTAAAGCAACATGTAAAAACAGCCAGGAAGGCTCTATGCTCTGTAGGAGGGGCTTGGTTTTACAGTTATTAAAGCAGGACTTCTTAACAATGGTTCTATTGACATTTTGGGCTGGATAATTCTTTGGAGAAGGAGCTCTTGTGGTGTAGTGGGTATGGCATTTGGCTGCTAACCAGAAGGTCAGTGGTTGAAACCCACTAGCTGCTCTGTGGGAGGAAGATGAGGCAATCTACTTCCGTAAAGATTTATAGCCTTGGAAACCCAGTGGGGGTTGCTATGAGTCAGAATTGACTCGATGGCAGTGGGTTTTAATTCTTTGCAGTGGGGAACTGTCATATGCATTTTAGGATATTAGCAACACTCCTGGCCTCTATGCATTATGCATTAGATGGCAAT